AACATCTTGAAATAATAAACAAAAAATTACAAATAAAATCTTTACTGATTTAAGAAATGGGGAGAAATGTATTCCCACAAACGGTGATTTAAAATTTAACCAGTTATTATATTGTGTGTTGTAGTCACTAATCACAGTAATATAATCCATAAAAACCAAAACAAGAAATCCAAATTATTCAAAAAATGAAAATAATAAATATGGGCATTATGTGGCGCAGAGGACACTGCAGCAGTCAGGCGAATTAGCTGTGTCCGTAAGATAGGAGTTATTTTGAAATTGATCTTATCACTTAAACAATGTTATTGCTTAAAGATTTGTAGCCCACAGGCAGCCTTAACTCAATATGCCCCTACCCTAATGCGCTACATTAGATAAATTATTAAATACCTAATATTTTATGTTTTAGTCAAAAATACAAAAACACAAAGCTAAAATATCACAGTTTGAAATATATTCTATGTGACTGTCCATATCAAATATTTGTCGACCAAGTAGACAATATTCATGAAGTTTCGCATAAATCTGTACAAATTTAGGAGTGAAACAACATTGTCATGATACTAAATAACAGCTGAAATATAAAAGTAAATACTTAAACTTAATTTGAGCTTAATAGATTGATACCTACTTCAATTATATCTCCTGACATGTTTTTAAAATGAGTATTACACAAAGTGACAAAATATAGTGTGTCTAAATGCTATAATTAACAAGTCATGGAAGAAGCTAATATGTACAATTCTAGTATCATATGAATAACAGTATTAATTGTGTTTTTAAACTATTCTATCATCTATACAACTATTATAGTGTTTTTCCAAAAGCTAAAAAAGTGTCATATTATTTAACTTTAGTTAGGTAAATTATAAATAAAAAAGATGTTTACATATAAATCGAGACATAAGGAATGAAATTCCTCTTTTATCAAATTTTTGCATATGAAATACATTTGTTTTATTGTGTACATTTTTTTGCTATCCAAATTTTTAAATTTTAGTATAACCTAATTTATTCTGTTATAAGATTTCAACTGCGCTTTCCTAATTTTTGTAACAGTTCACTATTTAATCATTTTTCTGCAGTAACGGGCAGACTTCAGTATCTACTTTTTTACTAGTAAAATGTATGGTTGTGTTTGTTTATATTCTCCTATGTTTTTTAGATATTAAAATTTGTATTATTGTAAATAAAGCACTTTTTTATGAATTAAAAGGAACCTTATTTATTCATTAAAATGAATGCAAAATCAGAAAACTACAAAACAATTGCATCAATATAACAAATACTGATTTTGCAATATAAGTATATTGTAGAGTATTTAAGTATAGTATTAGTGATTTTAAACCATTCATGATTCTCGGTGCCAATATGATAATCTGATCAAAATGTGTACAACAAGTTACGGGAATAAAGATGGTAACTCGTAGAGATCAGGTTTTGACATAAATGTATATTATTTTTCTACAAAGAAAAATTTGTAAATAGTTTATTTACTTTTAATTTTCATACATTAAATGTGTATATTCTGTAATACAAGTATTAATTTCACTTGGTCAGATGGATATACAAATTCAAAAATAGACTGAGTCAAGTTAGCAAACATTAAACACGCCCAAATTATTAAATGTACGTATCTGAGTGGACACCATTTAATTAATCTAATTAAAATTAAATTGGTTTTCCTAACTAGTTAAAAAAAATGTATTATCCCCATATAAATTTGATTCTATTTTTTTCTCTTGGGTAACAAATAGTCGAGTCTGGTAATTTTAATATTGGGTTTTCGGTAATCGTACTCACAAATTGTTTTGTAAGGTTTAGTATTTAGTACACAAATATAATATTATACTCTACTTGGTAATATGATTCGGAATTATGTAAATATGTTGTTTATAACGAAAAATGAATAACATTCCTTATGTTAACAAATTCGCATAAACAATTCTGCACAATACGACTAGTTATTGTTGTTTCGGTCGGCAATATGTAAGCCATTTGATCAGTCGTAAAAAAACTATTGAAGCAGTCAGTATAACTACGAGTATCATTGCAACTATAAAAGTAAGTAATATATGAAATTATTTTTTATATTTACAGGGTTTATATATTTTCTACATGTAAAATGTTACGAAATAATCATTTTAAAAACACTTACACACTATTTAAATGATATTTTTAAAATTATCCGAATACACTTTTAAAAAAAGATATTTGATTAATTTGTTATTAAGATAATTATTTAGATATCTTTTAATAGAATTATGCAAAACTCTGGTTATAACTACGCATAGCATAGACCGTATCAAATCGTATATTTGAAAGTAATTTTACCCTAGTAAGCCAGTACAGTGGGACTGAGGCATAATGGGATCAAAGCAATAGGGACGGAGAGGTCACAGTTATACAGTAATTAGTTTTGATAAGAGTAGTAAAACCACTTTCAAATAAACGCTATAAACGATTTAAATGCTTTGATGTCAATTGTTAACGTAGTCGTTATTTAAAAATACAAAAATTAATTATAGCTTCCTGCTGCTTTGTTTATGTTAATTGTTTTCATTCATACCACACATATTGTTAAAAAACATCTACATATTATAATATTTTTTAACACTATATGTTGCTGGTCTAATACAAGTGATGTTTATTTTTGTGATATTTTATTGTGTTTAGAATTGATATTAATTATTTTTTAGTATTGTGGTGTAAGACTTTCAGCACTTTAGTTGTGTACCATTTAATTATACTTTTATGATGATATTTTAGCTCTTCAGTCAGAACAAGTGTTTTGTACTAACTGAAAATTATCACCAGATATTTTTGGGTACTCACATTATTATTATTATTAATATTATTTAAGTACTTCAAAAATAGATATCCAAAACTTGTTGTCGACTATTCAAAATTAATTAGTACATTATTCTCAATTTAAAAAGTTTTTTTAAAAACATGCTTTTCTAAGAAATAGTAAAAGAGTGAGCTAAAAAGTAAAAAATAATTTTAATACAACAATTTACCAACCAGTTGTAGCGCATTTTATAAAATATCAGTTACTTTAACAACAACCGACAATTAACTACAATTTTAAATAATGTGAAATTTTTTTAACCTTTGAGTAAAATAAAAAATGGGAACTCTATTCAACTTAGTCCCTAATAATTTTATCAGTTAAAATGTTAATGTTTTATATTGTAAGTATTTTTGTAATTCAAATTTGGTTTAATATAAGTGTGTGACATATACATTTTACATCACTTATTGAATTTGGACTTTGATGAGGGCCCATGCTTATCTTTTTAGTCAAAATATAAAGATGTTTAACATTATTTAAAATTGTAATTAATTTTCCGCTGTTTTCAAAGGAACTGACATTTTAAAAAAAATGTGAACCAATTGATTGGTAAATTGGCCTTATAATAAAATTATTTTTTAATTTTTAGTTCACCTTTTTACTATTTTTTAGAAAAGCATGTTTTAATAAAAGTTTTTTATTTATTTTATTATTTACTTTTTAGTAATACTTAAGGTACTTAATAATTATTGTTGAAAATAGTTTTGTAAAAAATAGTATAAATTTGTCAATAATTGTTTTTTTAATATTTTCTGTAATCGTAACTTATGGTTAATTGATCTTTTCATCAATATAAGAAAACCGTGACTTTTTACCTGAATGTGTATAACAACAGAAGTTTAAACAACATTTCAAAGCAATGTAAATAAGTAAACATAATGCAATAGAAATAATCCCGCTTGGAGTTAAAACATGTACATAGAGAATTCTGCAATAAATGTTTAGATTTTATTGTAAGTATACCTCCGTCTAACATAACATGTTTTAATTTGCATTATAATTTACAGTCGAAAATGAAAGTTTTCTTTGTTTTACTGCTCTGTCCATTTTTAATTGTTTTGGCAAGTACTAGTCAAACATATACTCCAAGAAGACCTACTCCAAGAACACCTACTCCAAGAACTCCTGACACACTTACTAAAGGTACTTAGGCTTAGGTTTAAAATAACTAAAAAACTTTAATATTCAAATTTTTTTCAGCAAATAGAAAAGATAGAAAGAGACTTAAATTTACAAGTCAGTACTTTTTTTGTTTACAAAATACATTTTTAAGTTTTAAGACATAATTTGTTACAGACCTACTCATTGACGAACATATTTTCAATGGTAAGACATACTAAAAATGATTAATACAATAATTTTAATGGTTTTGTTATACTTGCCATTTGCCTGACTATAAGGTGATGTATTTTTATGAACTATAATCTCAATGAAAAAATGTTTCCAAAATAGCCTTTGTGTATTGTATTTTTAAAAAATTGTTTTTACCGGAGTACTCCAGAAATGATCAGTAGTGGTGAAGTCGAGGTTTGATGAGGATAATAAGCTCAAATAATGCGAACTTTGTTGAGAATATTTCTTAAAAGAGTCTCCCACACGACTAATATGATTTCATTATAATTCAGTTTGTACAATATTATTGATGATCTAGAATAGATATTTTAGAATAATTGTGTATTTAAATTCAAACACGGTTTATCACTAGTTAAATGGGCCACGTTTAACCCAAAACGTATTCAGAATATTTTTATACATATTTTGTAGCATTAAAATATCATTTGATTTTTTTTAACTTAATCAATTTTTTATTTATTTCAGAAACCATCAGGAACAAAATAATACATTTTGTTGTTCAACAAGATGAAGAAATAATGAGTAATTATTATTTTAAAACCTAACCGATTAGGTTTGCTAGTAGAAGAAGTGTTTTAGAAGTGATACAATAATTGCAAAAATTTATCAATGCGAATTAATAAGTGACATAAATATTAAATTTAAATCACTCAATATTTATTTGTAAATTTAACTTCCTTATTAGTATTAAACGTGTATTTTATACCTTGACTTCTTTATTTAAATTGATAATGGAACATGAAATTAAGTCTAATATCGTTTAAAAATAATTCTTTTGTAATTATAATTTCAGAGAAATTGACTTTTATGTTTGCACTACCTGGTAATAATTGAAAATATTTCCATATACTTGTTGGTTATTCACCAGTACAAAATGTTTTCGTTTTAATTTCAGAAAAAGATATTAATGAGGACTTGGAATACCGTAATTCATATTTCATATTCATAATACATTATACATTACAAATGGCTTTTACATTATTTTTTTAATTAAAAAAAAAATCGTATGCATATTAATTTTGCCATAACAATAGTAGACATATATAAACAATTTATGGTTTAAATTATAGAGAAGGCATTGGAGTATGAACTGACACTAGAATTAAACAAAGAATTTGGTAATTATAAAATTTAACATGTTTTCTCAAACACTTTACAAAACTGATAGTTAAAATTTCAGGTAATTAAAAATAACTGTGATTCACATTCACTTTTACTTTAAAAAAAATTATAAAAAATATGTTTGATTCTTATGCGCAATACTTAATTTAATTTGTGAATACCAATTTTTCAATTTATTGTTCAACTAATAGTATGCATTTTAATAGAACGAATTTGGCACTTTTGTATCGAATTTTTGTACGAGTCTTAGCCGCCTATAGGTGTACTCTCGTTAATTAATCGTAAAGTTCACACTGAATAAACAAATGTACACAAAAAAATTAATTAAATAAAATGAAAATGAAAAAATAAATTAAATAATGGAAAATTCGTAAAACCTGATCAGCCGCCGCAACCATTAATAACCAGATAATATATCTACACGTTTTACACATAGGACTCTAGTACTTTTTCTTAATGAAATAACATTATAGCGTGGAGTGTTTGGGCAAGCTTAGTTTTTTTAACAATGGCCCCATAAATTTAATTTAGCATTATGGTTCCCCAAAACTACCACATTTTCTAAACATTTTCATCTAGGTTCCTACTACTTTTTTCTTAAAAATTGTTTTCTTAGCTCAGAGTGTAGCAAGAGTATAGGCAAGTTTAGCTTTGTTGTATTGTATTTTATTTTTAATATTTAACGTAATACAAAGAAATTAAATTTTGAAAAGGTTTTGGTGCTATGTGAGCTTTATACACTTATCGTCCGCTCCTAGCGCTGATCAATGTATATGAAACTTAGCATATGGGTCCCTGATACTGTAGCCGGCGGCGGCAGAGTGCGTTTTTGATAATTGTCGGTATGGCACGTATTCAGTAGCTGAAGTCAAAGCACACTTGTGGTGGCGGCGACAATGAAAACGTGTGTTTTATAGTACCCTGGTACTCATTATTAATATTCAATCACTAAATCTCTATATTCACGTTGGTGCCGTGAAATCGTCACACGATTTTTCCACCCAAATTTTGGAATGACTCACAGCCCAATATCATATCGATGTTACTTGTAATTTTCAACAAAATTGTGACGAATCATCTTTCATAAATAAACGATTAAGCTAATTAATTGGCCTAAGTAATCTCAGTTTTAAATTTACTATTATACGTAGATCTAATAAAATACTTAGTTTCAATAATCGTACAATTATTTATTGCATATGATGTTTTTGTTACAGGGTTTGATGCGGATAATGTTACATATCCTTGTAATTATACTTTATTCGGCAGTCGTAAATAGCACTTAAAATCTAGATGATCAATCGATTTTTACGTTAAGTCAATCTAAGTTTTCTAGTTATTTTAATAAAAAATAGTATCAGCTAGTATTCACTAGTCGAAATTTATGTGTGATATTTATATCAATTAGCATTTTAATTGTCAGTGAAAAATTATGCCAGTAATTTTAGTTACCGCACATCACCTTACTATAAAAAAATATCACAAAAAGTGTTTGAAATTAATTACCCTACTGTTGCTTAAAGTTTTTTACTTTATCTTCACTTTGATCACTGTTACTAGCTAGATTAATATATAGAATTTGTCATTAAACAATTGATTTTTTTAAGTAACATACAAGTCGAATAAATTATTATTTGGTTGAAAAATAATAGATTTTCGAATAACTATTTTTTTAAATAGACATTATGTGAACTTAAAACTCCAATAAAAACATATTTTAACGATTCGTTTGTTTGTTAATAGTCTGTTTTTCGAATAATGTAATTTTTAAATTTGAAATTTTGCCGTGTTAACTGAGGTTACAAAATTGCCACTAGAAAAACCCTTTACAAAATTATTTTTACTTTGTTTAACAAATTGATTGAATTTTTCAGTTGCTAGTCGTGGAGCAACTGAGAACGATCTTGGAATTGCTCGAAGAGATATGATGATGATAGCTTTAAAATTGTTTATAACCGATATTAGAGACAGTAAATAATAAACTAATAATACAATTAGTGGTTACAAGGAAAAAATGCATATTCATACCAACAAACATTACACAATTAAATTTTTTAGGATTTTTGGTTCCCCTAGATTTAAATTTCATGCTCTAATCCCTGCCTTTATATTCACCTTATATGACGTTTAGACTCTTAGATGGGTCCTTCTAAGTTCATTTATTCTAACTAATTACTTAGTTATTTATTAATTAGAGGTGGACGTTTAAGAAAAATTGAGTGCCAAGTGTGTAAGTTAGTGTAATAGAGGAAATGTATGTACGGGCAAGTACAAGAGTGAAGACTGTGTGTAGAGAAATGGAAGATTTTAGTGTGAGAGTAGTTGTGCATCCAGGTATAGCGTTGAGTCCTTACTTGTTCTATTTAATAATGGACGAGATTACGAAAGATATACAGGGGAGGTGCCTCGGGGTATGTAGTTTACAGATGACGTAGTGTTAGTGGGGGAAGTCTGGAAGAAGTGGCTGAGAGACTTAAAAAGAAAGGACTGAGGATTAGAAGGAGTAAAACAGTGACAACAGTGTTTAGTTTTGGAGAATGTTAAAGGGTAAGACAAGTAATGCAGTTGGGTGATGATAAAGTGTGTAAGGTTGATAGGTTTAGGAAGAAAAAGTTAATAATTATTAATTTATTAATAAGTAATTTTATTGTTCTTTCTCCTGTAAAATTTACATTTTGTGTCTGAATACACATTTTCTCTTGGGTGGGGATATAAAATTAGCCTTAATTTTAGTTTGGCTAACTTTTGTAAACTTTTTTTTCAGAACATAGGACCAACCCTATAGATTTTACACACACATGTCGAATCATAGGATTGTTCTGGAGTATGAGATTTCCAGATGAATACACAACAAATGCTTATGTTGTAGGCGAAGTTTGTGTTATACGTCATAAAGAGGACATAAAAATCTCATGTGCATTCTATGAGGGCGATATATGTTTTGTAAACAACGAAAACCACGATTTGACAGGGGGAAGCATAATCCCTTGTTTAAATTAAATAATTTTTATTCTCCCACGTTTATTTTAATAAATTATACATTTTTTCTGTTCATATTTTTAAATGTTTTTGGATGCCACATTTATATAAAAACTGTCAAATAATTTACTGTACTATGTACTAAGAAGTTTTTGTTCGCTATTATAAACAATATTATTACTTTTAATCATAATATGTATTGGCTTAATATACAGGCTGTTTATTTCCTTTGTCGAGACCACTTCTCCTCCTCTATTCATCCCATCTGTCGAAATTGCTCACCATTATTTAATCTTAGTAAGTTTAAGTCCTTATATTTTTTTTCAAATTAACCCATTTTGTCACTGCTTGCACATTCGTAACAATAAACTAAAATGAAGCTGTGAGTTGTGAGTACAAAAATAATTGTATTCAAGCCATGGACGACGAAATAAGTTCATTGCATACTAATTACACCTGGACGTTAGTGCCAACTCCAGTAGGAAAGCGTGTGTTAAATAGTTCCTGGGCTTACAAAATCAAGTACAATGTTAACGGGCAGGATGATAGATTTTAGGCACGATTAGTTGTAAACGGTTCTCGACAGATACACGGAATAAAATTATAACGAGACATTCTCACCTGTAGTCATATTTGAATCTATCAGAACAATTTTGGCCATAATAGCGTCTCAGAAATTGGTATTATGCCAATTTGACACGGGTACAAAATTTCTTATGGTATGTTAGAAGACGAATTATATATAGAGCAACCGATCGAATATGATGACAATTTAGGTTGAGTTTGCAGATTACGTAAATCGTTGTATGGATTAAAACAATCTCGACGATGTTGGAATTCAAGGTTTAAAAATGTCCTATTACAATTCATTTTAATTCAAAGTAAATATGATTCGTGGGTTTTCACTAATCATGATAATAATGAAAAATTAAATTTTTGGCTATTTTTGTTGATGATGGTCTCATTGCGTCAGCCAGTAAAACAAAAATACAGGTATTATTGTCAAAGTTTGAAAAAAAGGTTAAACTGGTACCATGGATTATTGGACCAGATTTGGCATTTGCAGTCAATTTTGTGTCACGATTTTTGGCAAAACCAACTAATGCTCATTGATCAATGGTCAAACGCATTATGCGTTGCGTAAAACATACAATTTATTACGGATTGGTTTATAAATCTGACAATAATTTAGATTTAAGAATATTCACAGATTCTGATTATGCCGGAGATTTAGAAACAAGGAGATCAACTTCGGCACATTTATTCATGTTGGGGTCATCTACAATTTCATGGCAAGCTCAACGCCAAGCAATGAGGAAAGTCAATTCAAAGTTCAATACAAGAACACAAAAAAAATGTTGGCAGGTATCTTTACAAAAGCACTTCCAAAAGACAGATTTGGGATGATTCGATCAACCATTGGAGTACAGCAGATATCACAGTAGAATATATTAATTTAAGGGAATATTAATTATGGGAGTGTATTGAATTTAATATTATTATGTATTTGGGTCATGGAATATGAGTAAAATATAAGTAACAATTTTTGTATAACCTTATATAATAGTATATGCGAACATTATAGAAATGATTATGTAACGATTGTGATGAGGTGAAACCTTCACTATTCGAAGTTAACAACAATCTGGAGACCAGCTCGCATGTTCGACCCAAGGTTCTTCGTCCGGCTCCCAAGATCTCAGACCTTAACGACAATAAAAACATGAGACATCATCATTTGATCCATCACCATTTTATATGAAACCGGCTTCACTCATAAGTTCTCGCTTTGAAATAAATAATGTGTTGCTACATTTATCAAAAGTCTTGTTACGCGTTTTACAATCTCAAAAGTTTAATGTACAAAAAACATCATTTTTCATCATCATCAATTCATTATTATAATCATTTATTATACACACAATTTATTGTATTAAAATGACTATAGTTTATTTGAAACATGTTTTTATATTGTATATATTAATGATAATATATACATTTATAATATATATTTATTTAATATTATTAATTTATTCTCCCATTTATTTTTTAGTAAACCACTCGATGTTGCTAAAGAATTTTCTATACTAAACAAGATACAAGGTTAAACTAAATTTTGTAAAAATGGGCGGCAAAGCCCCTTTTTATTACTACTTACATGCTTAAAAGTCTTAAAGATATGACACTAAATTTCAAACCACAGCAAGATTTAATGCAAATTAATTTGAATTTAAATAGAATACCGGGAAATACAAAAATTCCGCTTAATGTTAAACGTCCTTAGGGCCTATTGTTATCAGAGGATTTGGATATTATTAAATTCGCTAAGTTTATTGACACTTGCGGATGTGGTTAAAAAAAGTTTTTCAGCCGAGCCTGCAACCATGAAAGAGCATTTACATGTCTTGTTGAAGTACCGAGATAATAAATAATATTATAAATGAGATTATAAATAATGATATAGTATATTAAGAAGCAGTAACAAGCGCTAGTATATTAAAACATCAAATTTCTGGCTTACATTACAGTGTTTAATATTTGGCTTAAAACAATTCATAGAGAATTTGGGCCCTTAAACTGTTTGAATTTATTATTTAGTTCTGATTTGAACGTTGAACGTACAACATATCTCTTATCTCCTATATCTTTCCCTGTCCCCTATCCAGTATCTCCTACCCCCTATCTTCTACCTCTATCTCCCACCTCCGTTTGTAATGCTTTTGTAAAGAACGTTTTTTTCGGTTATGTGCCAGAGTTAATTCCCACCCCCATCCGTGTGTAAACGCTTTTTGACATTTACACGTCTTAGCTCTGGCACATAACCGAAAAAAGCGTTCTTTACAAAAGCGTTACCACATGGTGATGGGGTTGGTGATGGGGATGGGGATGGGAATTAGCTCTGGCACATAACCAAAAAAAGCGTTCTTTATTAAAGGGTTACAAACCCGTTACAGGGGGTAAGAGATAGGAGTAGAAGATAGGGGTAGAAGATGGGTTGGAGATAGGGGTGAGAGATAGGAGGTGGGAGATAGAGGTTGAAGATAGGGGTGGGAGATAGGAAGCGAGAGATAGGGGTAGGGGATAGGAGTAGAAGATAGGGGGTGGGACATAGTGGGTAGGGGATAGGGGTAAGATATAGGAGATAAGAGATATGTTGTACGTTCAACGTTCAAATTAGAACTAAATGATAAATTCAAAATAGTTTAAGGGCCCAAATTCTCTATGAACTGTTTTAAGCCAAATATTAAACACTACAATATAAGCCAGAAACTGGATGTTTTAACATAATAGCTTGTTACTGCTACTTAATATACTATATCATTATCTATAATTTCACCACTACTCTAAATTTATTCGGTACTTCAACGAGACATGAAAATGCTCTTTCGTGGTTGCAGACTCGGCTGAAAAACTTTTACGTTATGGAATTAGAGCCTATTTGCATGAAGCCATTTGCATATATCATTCAATATAGAAACTGAACTGATTTGGGCTGGGTTTTCGAACCACCGACAGCGTACGCGACGGTCTCGCCGACGAACGCGCACAGCGCCAACGAGTGTCCGAAAAACAAAACGAAAAACGGCCCGTACACTTGCGACATGGTCAACACCGCGGTGTCGGCGAACACTTGGCCGTGCGCAATCGACTCCTCGACGTCGTTGTCCCGGTCCCAGCGCTGCATGATTCCCGTCTCGGACAGGCGCGACATGATGACGCCGACCCGGTGCCGGAGCGGCGAGCCCTTGCGCAACAAAAACGTGGACGAATACGACTCGACCGCGCACGTGGACAGCACGTGCAGCCGCCTGGTGTCGTTGGACTCGCGCTTGTACCGTTCCGCGTGGTACAGCAGCTCGCGCCTGGACGCCAACACGGCCGAGTCCCGGGCCGTCAGGATGCGCCGGACGAAGTGGCCGAACTGTTCGGGCGGCAAAATGTGGTACCGCCGGAGCAGCGCCTGGAAATCGTTGCCCGAGCCCGCCGACGAGTTGATCAGGTAGTACATCTGCTGGCGGCCGGTCAGGCTCAGGTCGGTTTTCAGCAGCGACTGTTGGTCGTCGATTTCGGGCTCGGCCTGCGGGATGGTGATCAGGCTGCCCAGGTACGCCTGGTACGCGCTGGTCACCACCAGGCTGTACAGCAGCCAGTTGGACAGGAACACCTGCAGCGGCCACCGCAGCCCAATGGCTTTGGTGACGGGCGCGCCGATGAACGTACCGAACGCGTAGAAAAACACGGACTGCCGGTCGCGGAACACAGACGTCGACGCCTGCCGGGACAGGACGAGCACGACGACGGCGGCGACGGCCACGCTGCCGACGATCAGCAGCCAAGTGACCGGCGAGAATTCCACCACGTAGTCGAGCCAAGCGGACGGGTCACGGCCGATGCCGCTGGGCAGGCCCCAGGTGAAGCAGTCCATTTGGTCTTCCCTGATGAAGTCCACCTCGGACTCGCCGTCGAACATCCGGGTGAACCGCCCGAAAGCCAAGTCGGCCTTGCGCGACTTGACCTGTTCGGCGACCACGGAGCCGACACCGTCGTCGGCCAGCGGCGTTTCGGTGGCCATGTTCGGTCCCATGCGGCCTTGCACCACAGACACCATACCGGTGAAGTTCATCTGCTGCTGGAGGAACCGGACTACGCGCAAACCGGATCCGGTCAACGCCCAACCGGTCGGCGTCTGCACCACCGTGGACACCGGCGGCCTGTGCACGCCCAGACACTTTAACGGACACCTGTAAATATAATTAAAAATATGACAAACATACAATAATCACATTAACTATATTACTTTAACTTGAGTGAAAACATTTCTAAGTAAGAAGTATTGATATTTTCATGTCTTTGCTCTGGCACATAACCGAAAAAAGCGTTATCAAAAAAAAA